GAGTTGGCTCAAGTGTTCTAGAAACAGTGCCGAGGACCGTCACCTAGACGATCCCTGATACGGCTAGCTTAACCTACGAAGAAGGACTCTAGGAGCTGAAGCACTTCTCTTTATTGTGTCACAGATAGAGAAGAAACCTAGTCAAACCATGCAGGATTTCAGGAGGTGATTTTGACCTAGTAACAGGCTGTTCGTGCTGTTGTTATTTAATATGTGACCATTCTCCCATACATTATTGCGCACGAGTACCAAGTAACCACTACCTCACCCATGTTTACATCAAGGTCGCACGCTCTTTGAAAAGTGGAGTGACTTTTCACGTTTAGCTAGATTCTCGTCATTTTTGTGTTTACAAATCAAAGGTTGTTGTGATTTTGCTCTAATCGGAATATTATTCGATTAAAGTGAGACAGGAACTTTTACTGGGTGAATTTCTCTAGTTTCTGCTATATGGTGGATCAAAAGTATAAAAATCCTTGTGGTACGATCGGGTGCCACTTAACAGTGGCCCCTGGTATTCAGTGTAGCGAATCTAAGAGTTGGTTCCACAAAGACCATACAGGCCTCACACCCTCAGCATATAAGAGGTACAGCAACGCAGGAAGTGTCTGGCTTTGCAAGTTGTGCTGCTAGGATATTCGCACTCTGGTAGGAGAAGCAGTCCTGAATATGCTAACTAAGAAACTAGCGTCGAAAGCCAAAGCCAACAACTGTGATAGTGATAACGTGAGACTAGGTCTACTTCAGATGAAAGAAACAGGAGTGAAGGACTCCCGGTGCCAACCCTGGAACCAAGCAGGCCGCAGGTCATACCCAGTTTGGAGACCCAGTCACTGGCGAAAGCTAAACAGAGTGAGATGCAAGTCCCTTCTGAGGCTGTCAGCTTCAAGGCCGTACCGAAGGCATACCCGACTCTGGGAAATGACAAGTAGCCAAGTCTAAAAGGCATACCAAGAAGCCAGCAACGCTCATCTGGCCAGCTGTCATCACTCTACAGAGCAAAGAAAAAGTAGAGCTCCGTGACAGGTCTCTAGTCTTCCAAGAATGGAAGAAAGCAGAGATCCGGAACCACGTACACGTTTCTAACGTGACCTTGGCAAGGCACAAAGTTTCATAGACCAGCTTTCACCGAAAAACATGCCGGGAGTCATCCCACTCAAGACATAAAGAGTAAGCAAGCAGAAGACAGTCATTAGCGAAAACAAGTTTCGGCTACTTAAATTCGTGTTCAAGTCAACAGATGAGAAGGATAAGGTTCTGAAGAACGCTCATAGACTTCAAGGATCTCAGGTTTTCGTGCGTAAGGATTCGGCTCTTGCTGATAGAGTAAAAAACGAGAAGCTGAACCAGAACTAAAATCCAGAGTAGCAGCAGGAGAGCAAAATCAGAAAGTAGTGGGTTTTCTTGTAGTGAGGTTTCGGTAACAGACGACCTCAAAGCCTCTTTGGATAGGATGAAAACTCATTTAAATAGTTTCATTGTCTTGTACACAAATGCACGTAGTCTCTTAAATAAGTTAACTGAGCCTAGTAATGTGACAAGCAAAAAAAGTCCTGAAATCATTGCTGTCTCAGAAATTTGGCTTTCTTCTTGTACCAGTGACTGCGAGACACGTTTACGACGATTCGTTCCTTTTAGAAGTGATAGGTTAGCATGCAAAGTTTGTGGTGTCATCCTTTACGTTAGGAATACCTTAACTGCAAAAGCCATAAAAACGGTTGCACATGAAAGTGGGACATGTGAAATGCTGCGTTGCCAACTAAAATGCAAGGAACAAGATGTTAATTCAGTCGTGGTATATCGGAACCCCGAATGTCAGGCAGCAGACTTACTCCTGAATAAGCTGACTCCCAGGAAAAATAAATGCCGATGCCTAGTTGTAAGAAACTTCAATGCACCGTCAACTGACTGGGATAGATTAACAAAAGAAGCATAACGTAACTAGTTCGATCACAGGTTAGTGGTAAGATCAATTTCTCTAGCCCTTATGCAGCACATTAGGACACCAACCAGATATGATCATCAGCATGTTCCATCAGTTCTAGACTTAGTATTCTCCCACACAGATGATTTATGCTCCATGCGTTACATAGCACTCCTTGGTAAAAGTGATCACGCTGTGATCATCTTTAGATTCACAGCAAATTTCTTGTACCAGGCAGATACCCCAGCTAGACCCAGCACATGGAAAGCGAATATGCTAACTATTTACCTGACAGCCTCCTCAGAGGACTTGAAAGTCAATCCAGAAGCCTCTGTTGAAGGTGCATGGTGCTCCTTCAAATAGTTATATGCACAAGTGATTCATACGTTTATTCCATTGACTGTTCTGAGGGAGCATAAATATTGTCCTCCATGGATAAACGACAAAATCTAGATTTTTCCACGACGTTATAAAAGGTGTGTGAGTGTTGTTATCCACGTTGGTACTCTCGAAGTGATGAAACATTACAAAAAGCCCTTAGTAAACGTATCGCTGCTATCTGCCGGTCGCAAATATGCTTTGAAACACGTCTTGTCCAGACTGTGTTGCAATATCCAAAGAGGTTATTTTCTTGTATGAACCACAGAAATAAAATGTATCGTGGTATACCCCACCTAATCAATGGGACAGAAACTGAATGTTTGATTGAAGACGATAAGGAAAAAGCAGACGCTATGGCTGGATATTTTCCTGAGGTCTTTATACAGGAACTTGTGTAGACACTTATTCAACAGTAGAAGCATTGACATCCAACAGAATAAACTCCGTTGATATCGATTGCAACGATGTATTTCGAACATTGAGTAATCTCGACGGGGAAAAATCAACGGACCAGATGAGCTATACCCAAAGCTGATCAGAAAGCTTGCACTCTATGTAGCCGGCCCAATGACTACTATATTTAGATTCTCTGAGTGAAGGCACATACCCTTATGACTGGAAAGATGCCATAGTGGTACCTATCTACAAGGCAGGTTCTACGCAGCACCCATCAAGTCAGAAGCCGATAAGTTTGACCGTTACTGTAGTAAGAATCCTAGAAAGAGTAGTCAAGAAAGCCATCACAGTTCACTCACAGAGCAACACTCTATTATCTCGTTCGTACTTTGGCTTCCGCAGAAACTTCTCTTGCTTGACGAACCTTCTCAAAGTCAAAGAAATTTAGGTTAAGTCTAAAGATGATAGAATACCTGTAGACGTCATTTTCATATACTTTGGTAAGATTATCGATAAGGTACTTCATTTCAGGTTGTTCGGGAAAGTGTAAAGTTTTGGAACCAATAGCAGTCTGTTTGCATGAATAAGAGAGTTCCTTGTTGGTAGAAGAAGAAGAATGAGGATCAATTCTCAACTCTCCCCTTGGAAGTCGGTGGAGAGCGAAGTGCCTCAAGGCACAGTCCTAGGTCCCCTGCGGTTTCTCTTATACGTAAATGAGCTGCCAAATATCACAAATTCGTCAATGGTTCTCTACTCTGACGATGTAGAAATCTGTCGGTAAATTGAGAACGATAAGGATTTATGTGTCTTCATGTAGACCTAAATAGCTTAGTTACCTGGTCTGAGAAGTGTCCGATACCTGTCAATGCAGGTAAGTGTGTCAGCACACATAGCAACACCTACGATGTTGATGGGACTCCTCTACCATCAGTACTGACCCATAATGACCTAGGAGTCACAGTGAGTTATGACTTGAAAACTACGGCACACTGTCGATTCGCAGCAGCTTGGAGTTTTGGGACACTTTGAGCATTACGTAGAACGTTTGAGAAAATAAGTAGTGACATGTTCACCATCTTATACACATCCTTAGTTAGGTCTAAATTAAAAAACTGTACACATGTGGCAAATCCTTGTCTGAGAAGTGACACAGACCTTCTAGGAAGACTTCAGTCGGCAGCCACTCGTATGATTCACGCTATGGCTGGCCTCATCTATGAAAATCAACTTCAGGAGCAAAACCTCTTCACTTTGTCCTATTGCAGACAGAGGGGAAACCTAATCATGCTATACAGGATTCTCGGAAATGACTTCGGACGTGGTCTATCTTCTTTTCTCCCTCCCAATAGGTCGGAACGCCTCAAAAGACATAGTGGAAGGCTTAAAAAAGAACACACGTAGTCTTTGAATAGCACCGGCTCTCGCATTGACTAATCAACGCTTGGAACTGACTCCTAGAGGAAGTGGTGTCCGCATAACCAATTGACTCGTTCAGTGGTGGATTGGACAAGCACAGAAATCTAGTGGAAAAGGGTAAATATAAGCTCACAGTCTCTCACCCTCAAACAAAAGGCATGAAAATTTGAATATGTCAGCACCAATAAGAAAACACATCAGGAAGTGGAAAACACGTTGAAGGACAGTTTATTTGTTAGTTTTCAGTAAAACGTTTGCTTCAAAAGGAACGTTCGTAAAAAATATATCTACAGATGGCTGAACTATGAACCTCAGAGTGCAGCTGCTGGACAGCAAGAAATAAGTGCGAAAACGGCGAATTAAAACGCACGGATGCCTACATGTATAAGCAGAGGTTCGAAGGCTATGAATATTTACTGATGGTGTAGGAGACTAATCAGCTGATTTTCAGATGCTTCGGGCGTTCATTTATTTCCTGCCTAGCAGTATCTGCACTACGGGGTGTCATCCTTCTTGCAGTTGGTTGTGATAAAGTAAATCTCTGATCATAGGAGGAAGTTGAAGGCCGGATACGAAACACCTTTCTATTTTGGAGGTGGTTAATGTGATTTTTATTCCCAGAACGTCGACGCTGGCAGCAACCGCAAAGATAGACACCTGTGGTGAAACGAAAGATTGAATCTTGGGTGTGTAGAAACCTGATAGTTTTTTTTATCTCTCGCGTCTAGTCCTTAGGGTTATAGAAACTAAAGACAGAAAAATCAAATTAGTATTGCAGTGTTCAAATGTTATCCGGTTCTTAACGTCTCGGCTGATGTGTAGTGAAAAATACCAGTGGTAGTAATTTTATCACCCTAAAATAAATATCTTATTGTGAACTTACTATTCGACCTTGATGAGTTCAAATTAATGTCATTTTGCTGCTAAGCTGCATCAGCTACCAAGTATTTTAAACAAAAGTGGAAAGAGAAAAGAAAGAATCCTCTGAGTGGTAGTTATGTGTGTTATGAGCATTATTACTGAGTTGATTTCGAATCAGCGTCAATGCGGAACTCAGATAATATTTAGTTCGTTTAACTAAAATCAAATTTCATTCACTGAGTGGTAAAGTTCAATAATGTGAGGAGGCTTCTGAGAAAGAAACAAAAAGCCTCTTTGAATTGACTAAGAAAGCCGACATGAGCAATATATTGTATGTCTGTACTGCATGAAAATGTTGGCAATGACAGTCGCTGAGGGTCAAGCGAAAATTTATCAATGAACCGCTTTTTAACAAGCGGAAAAATTTCATGCTCAAATTCCTCTTTACAGTACTGATTACGTCATGGTGGCATGCGATCTGGTTATCAGTGCGCAACTGTCATGTGAAATGTCTGCCCTTGTCAAGGCTGAAACCTGGTGGACTATGTGGAGGTGGACCAATGTCTCAGAACTACCCCTTGGCTAAAAGAGTTTTGCTCTTTACTCACCGACCATCATCAGCAGGGACATCGTTAGGATAGCGGTCGCTGAAAGCGTAGCCATGGTGGTAATAACACATAAGAATCAGACCACATGGTCAAAATCCAAACCCTTGGCGCCTCTTGTAAATCCAGAAAAGGGCATGGAAGAAATGAAAGCTCTCCAAAAAGGTCAAATGTAAGTACATATGGAGCTCTGAGGAGACAGCGCATAATCAGAGGTTGGGGATACAAAAAGTCTTTGTGCACAGGGTGTGTCCAGAAGCTCGAGGCGAACTTCAAAAGAGTATGCTGATTCATATCAGAGAAAATTTCCACCAGCAAATAATCATGCGCTGTTAAAGGTCCCAATGGAGAGAACGTCTCTGGAGTGGGGACCACCAAAACTTTCAGCGTCATATTCAAAGCACAACCGGACATTCTGTCACTGGAGTTAACGTGAAAACTGTCTGAACAACCCCGAGTATTACCCATTGTAGGGGAATTGATAAAATGTGGGTAACCTCTGCCATACTTCTCAACAAAACCTCAAAGCCCCGCAAAGGAAGATCTGCAGACCCCCAACACTTTTACCAGTGTCGTCAAGACTAATGGATGGCCCGATGTACGACCACGTCAGAGAATACTGGAGCAAAAAAGGATTACTAATGGATTCTGAACGCAGTTTGCGAAGGTGCTGGACCTGCACCTTGAACCGTCTGGAAACCTGCGATAACTGGACAGCATACTAGAACTTCAAGGTTCTCGCTCAGGTGATTCTCCTGGATGCTGCTGGGGCTTTTGGCGTAGCGTTACATGCCAACCATATATACAAAATCGCAGGGCTGTGTACAAGTGGTTTGGTGATATTTCGGGTTGGAGGCGATGGGGAATTCTTTAAAGCAGCGTTTGCTTGACATGTAAGACATGATCATCTGGCTTATCAAAAGAAACGATTCTCTGCCCACCGCTGTTCTCGGTTTTTGAGAAGGCGTTCATGGTCAGTCCCATCTCCCCAATTATAATTTTTTCTGGAAAGCTTTGACATATGAGGGAGAGTAAGGGGCAGGACTAGATGCCCCCAGAATGCTTGTGGACTGGTTGACAAGCAAGGGACTCGCGCTGACCGATAAGCTGAACGAGAGGTCTGATTATCTGGAAGACTGCCACAGGCCACTCATTACCGTACTTCACGAGCAGTTAGCTAAGCGTCCTCAGTCCTGAACTCATTCTGAAGTTCTACAAGACTGATATAGGCCCCCGCCTAGAGGCTTACCACGTCACTGCCCCCACCACGCCTCAAAAGCTACCAGAACCTTCCAGAGAAAGCCAGAGGGTGGACCGTGAAGGACGCTGTAAGGATGCTGCAGAGACCGAACGACGATAGGTCGAGGTAGCTTGGTCTCTGATCTCTTGGATGCCGGAGGTTACGCTTTGAATAGACAACAGCCTACAAATTACTCAGCAACCCAAGCAATAGGGTTTAACTAGACAGCCACTGTCGCAGTCCCTGCGGAGGCCAGTCAAAAGGTGGGGACCAGTGTGCTTACACACTCTTTTTGTCTTCGAGTTTGCAGCCTCTAAAGATAACTTTGGGTAGCAATGCAGCAGTGCATGACTTGTGTCCCTCCAGGTGGGATAAGGATCAGGCCAAAAAACCAGCTGATTCTGCATTATTCCGATTCAGCAACCTTCGCACCAATTCTCCTGGACTGCCATCATTATGATGAACTCAGCTTGACCCTATATTTTCCTATTGGACAACTTTCACACCTACCACGCCCTTACCACTATCATTGTTATTTCTGTTTCCGGTCTACTTACTAGAATGTTACCTGCTCTTTCCCTACCTCCCTTAGTTCACCCCATTCAATGCGATTCTCATCATCACTATTTTCTCGCCCATCTCGCATGAATTTACATGGGACTGTCTATTCCTTTTATTTTGCTGTCATTTCTTTGTTATTCGTGGTTGTCTTTTCATTCTCCCAGTCTTCCCTGACGACTGGCTTGAAAACTGTCTGGTGGCGTGACATTTAAAGACCGCATCTGCTTTTTTTCTTTTCAGGACAAGACATACGACCCCATAAGTTTAATCAACTCCCAGCTACTTATCGGAGTTATGGGGCTACGGCAGATTAATAGGTACCTCTGCTATGTCGGGATCTATCAAGGACCCAGAATCGTTCCTTAAGACCTGAAGCAGGTGAGAGGAAATCATCCTGGCCTATGCAGCCTCGTGAAACATACTGGATACTGGATGACAGCAGTGGAGACGGACTGCTTGTAAAGGAAAAATGATCTGAAAATCCCTCCCGATCACCCTTATTTGATTGTATTGACATTTGTTTTAACATTTTTACCCTCGTTATGGATGGTGTACCTTTGACCCTCGCCGGTGTAATGTTATTTGCTTGCTTAACTGTCTTATTTGACTCTACACTCGGTATTTGCCTTTGTATGTTTGAGACTTATTATGGGTGTTTCACTTTCCTATTATGTGACGCTGGACCGTTGATAAGGTGATGTTGTTTTACTGCGCACGACATTTTGTTTTGGTTCAACTTACGGTTGTGCGGTGATTTGACTGTTTGTCTTTTGACTGTCTACTGGGAACGTTTGTTTGTTGATTTGATTCCTGTAGGCAGAGTTTTGATCCCTTTTGCCGGGAATATTCCTATTGACCGACAGGTATTTAACAGTTGTATTTTTTTTACCAGTTTTTACCGTGTAGTACGTATTTGTACCCGAGAACGTTTTGGACTGTATAGTTACCCAACGGCACTGTTGAGGTATTTTTGTAATTTGACATAACTTATTGTTGCTTTGATAGTACCACAGATTTTGTTACGAATCTACTATTGAATTACTACAAACCGTGTTTTGATATTTCGATCCAACCTTTGACTGTGCGTCACTCGCGGAAGTTAGGAAGCTATACAGTAGAACGCAGGAACTAGTCAGATTCACGTCAGTTGGCACCGCCTAGCTATTTCCCGCGTTCAGGCCAAGATTATTGGATTCTGGCCGCTACACTGCCAACTCCCCTCCTTATCACCAATTTGGACGTCAGTTGGCCGACGAACACTTTCCCAGTTCCTACTCAAAACTGGTGGGCGTCTTGAAGGATGACGTGCTTTGTTCATCTTCAGTAACCAGGTCAACACCACCGTGTTTATCGACGGAAACAGCTCCCAGTCATGCCAAGGCAGGGAGCTGGAAACGTTTAACCTAATGGACGTGAAAACTCCATTGTGCAACAACGCAACTGACGTCACAATTTGGGAGGACCTCATACTGGCGTTTTGAAGTGGTCTGGACTGTCCAAATGCTGTTGTTTCTGGTTCTGCTCGGAGGTCGTTCAACAAGAAACATCCTTCTCACTTTGCCATTCCTCCGACCATCCCGCTGGAAAAAAGCAAACGAGGAGGAAAAAGTAAATTTCACAGGCAGGTATACTCACAGTCGCAGATGTCGACCCCGACTATCCCAAAGTACACCATGCAGTAATGAACAGAAAGTAGATTCCTGGCGACTGGGATGTTTGCAATACATTATCGTCAGGGGCTAACAAAGCTTTTGTGCCAAAAATGCACCTGTGAATGCTGTGACTGCGATCAGGGTGGAACACATAGGATTTACAACTTCGTGACGAAGCACCCACGTGGATGGGCATGCTGCTTGCGTTTTGATCTTGCTCTTGTAATTTATGCAAAAACACTGACGACCCGTTTCGTTTGACATCATCCAATTTGCCTGTTCAATAATATTGAATCCCTTGTTTCGATTAGCGTCACCACCGTATTTCGTTTTTGGTGTGAACTGCAGTAGCCGTCAAAATTGAAGGTTTGTAACCGAGATTTGTATATGTATTCTGATATAAAGAACAATTCTCACGGGGTTCACTTACTGTCTAAATATACTTTCGTAGTTCAGCAACCAACTGTTTCGGATTTGGTCGGTTTCACCTGGTTTTGGGAACTCAGGAAATTCGTATCTTTGGTACGCGCCACCCAGTAGATTTGCTGTAACACAAGTACTTCTGCTTTGGATCTCTTCCTCTGAGCGACGATTTGATTCTTTCCCCCTTTGGAAACGAGTTTCAATATTTGGGATACTCCCCTCCTTCCAACATGTCCTTTGGTCACGGAAATCGGACCGCTAAACAAGTTCATAATCCTGGATCTAGACAAAGGGGGAAAGCCTCACCAGCGGATAATAATTTGGAATTTTTCCATACTTTCTGTGGTGATAGGGAAGATAAGGTGAGTGTTGATGGTGTTAGTGTCCATGGTCCATGAAGTGAGCCCAATTACATGAATTGTCTAGGGAAAAAATGCTAGGAAGGGAATTAGGATCAAGCGCTGCGTTGTCTTACGACGCACTATGAGTTAAGGAAACAGACATACAGTAATTATAGGACCCACAACGCCATTGGGTTACCTGAACCCAGCGATATACAAAATAT